GTGTTACCTTGACTAACCAGATTACCTTATATTTCATATAGTATGGTGAAAGAGGAGCAAAGTTTTTGGAGAACCTTTTTTTTAATCCAATGGATTATTTGTCTGTTTCCTATTGTTTTGGCTGACTAATTAAATTTTTTAAAAATAGTACCAACTTTTATTAATGTGTCTCAAAGGAGATTTTGTATGCTTCTTTTGCCAAATTCGCTTTGAGTTCATTTACTTTGCATTAATTTTACCTTTAATTCTTCCTTACTGCATGGTGCAATCCATGCAATCCCGAACCTTATGGACAAGAAAATTGTTCTGCAACAATCTACAACATTTTCCAGCAGCACTGGGTGAACTGGTGATTAGCCTCAGTAATGTTTTGTCACTGAAATGATGATCCACTGGTTTCAGAAAAGCTGGATGTGTGTCAGGCAAGCTCAGTGGTGAACTGTTTGTGACCCACTTCAGTGCAACTACGTATCTGATAGTTGTGGTTTGTGAAATTTTAATCCCAAAGCTTCTCTTTCTGTCCAAGATTGTGGAGAAGATGGTTTACTATCAGTTAAATTTATATTTAACTGAGCATGAACTTCTTGAGGTGTTTCTATCTGGTGTTGAAACTCACCACAATACGAAGTCAACACTTTTTAAGATTTTTAACAAGTCAAAGAGTCACTGCGTTGCCTTGATGCTGTTGACCATAATGGATGCCTTCGACAGACCATCAGTTCTTCCTGTCCCATCTGGAGAATTGGGTGGGTAATCAGGATGCTGCTCTGGTTTTCTGAGTTTGTGTTGGAGCAGCTGTTTCCTCTGTAGAACCTACTGTACGTGGTGTGCCTCAAGGCTTTGTGCTTGGTCCTTTTCTCTGCTCCCTGTTCCTCTTGGATTYATTCTCTGGAAACATGGTATCAGTTTCCATGTTTTATGCCAAGGGTAGTCACATACTATAACATTAAAACAGCTAATGTTTTGCACTTGATTAAACAAAAAAGGTATTGTTGTTAGAGCCAGTGATTCTTTCAAAGTGGGTACCTATCTGGGTCCTTGAACAAGGCACCTGACTCAGACAGCATCAAATGGGTGTGTGAGAATGGATAATGATCTCAAACTCCATCTTCAGATTAAATCAGTGGTCAATTCCATCTTTTATCACTTGAGACAGGTGACCAAGATATAAATATTTCTTTAAAAACATCACTTTGAGATTTAAATCCCTCAAATCGTTTAGATTACTGCAATGCACTTTACCTTGGTCTGAGTCAGTCATTACTTTCCAGATTTCAGCTGGTTTAAAATACCAACCACCACACAAATAAGTCACCAAAAACTTGCATCAACAATCAACCATGAATGCATATTACAATTGCAATACAACTTTCCATCACACACGTTGTGAATAACATCAAGGCATACTGACCGTTTCACACGTGCAGACACAGACACACACACACACACACAGACAGACACACACACACACACACACACA